GGAAAGATAAAGATTTGGACTGGGGGATCTTATACCCGTCTTCTCCTCTTTTCGACGGGAGTAAATCAATTTATTTTTGAGGTTAGGGTTAGGCTTAGTTTTTTGAAAGATAAATAAGTAAAATAACAAATAAAATCTTTCCATGACTAAAATATGATTTTTTTTCAAAGTGCGTTAAGAGTCTCCATGGTAAAATATATTGATGTAGAATCTTAACGCACTTTGAAAAAATTTTTCAAAGTGCGTTGAGTTGGTCCAAACTTAACGCACTTTGAAAATTTTCTTCAAAGTGCGTTGATATTGTCCCAGTTTTAACGTACTTTGAAATTTTTTTCAAAGTGCGTAATTTTTTCAAAGTGCGTTGCCACAAACGTCAAAGCTTGTAAATACCAGCTCGCTCTCCAGCGTTTCCAACCCATTCGAATAGTCTAGAATAATCTTGAGGCCATAGTTAAATATCTTTTAAATAAGGTATTAAAGAAGAGAGAAAAACTAAGCACTGTATCTCAGTTTTTAAATCCTACGTTTAGATACAATTAGATCTTGGTTTATATTAGCTTAAATGACTGAACTCGGTAAACTAAATTCAATTTTCAAAACATTATTTGTTGAATATATTCAAGACTTTCTTTTTTCAATATTGAATGAGAAAATGATTAAATCATCAATTACAGGTTATATTTTTTTAACATGTTCATTATATATTTTAATTGGGTTTTTTATTATTAGGGGTTTTTTTGGCTTGAAGGTAGGGTTATTAAATAAAAAATAGGTAAGAAGAAAATACTCACATGCAGATGTTTAGAAATGGAAAACATGCAAGCAGTACAAGCATTAAGTGCCGACGTTTATTTGATGGATCCACGTGGTAGAAAAGAGGATAAAGCACCAAGAAATATGAGAGAATTATAGGAATAATGGTTAAAGCCAAATATATGAGAGCGGTTACTCTTTCCTCACGCTCCAAAAAATAGTAAACCATGAACAAATTTCGGAAGAGATCGAACATATATAAAAAGATTAGAATTGCCGTTGCAATCACCACAACACATTTCCCAGTGTTATTGCATATTGATTTGCATATAGGGGTTTCCAATTCTTTTTCACTAGAAGTGTAGTTATTCCGTTCAGTAGACACTTTTATGGTTTGCAAGTTTCTATTTGATTTAGTTTCAGATATGTTAATGTCGAATTCAAGAAGGATCTTCAGTTTTTCCTTCAGGATGCCACAAAACAGAAGGAAAATGAAGAAGAGGATGGTGAATGATCCAAGAGCAAGCTCGACACACGTGATCTGTTCCTGTGAAAAACCGAAGTTTTTTGCAGGGAAAACTGAAAGAATTGTGAAACAGATAATCTAAAAGGTGATACATTTCCTTTAAATATGCAAAGTTTATAAAAGAAATAAATTTCAAAAATATATGTGTCAAAAATGACTCACCTGAGCTGTTCATTTCAACCATTTCAATTGTACGTTGTGAAATTGACACACTGGAAAATAATTTCTAAAACAACACAACGCTTAATTGAAGATTGCAGCTATAACGACGAAGGATGATTGAGAGTCAAATTATGTTAAAAGATAGAAATCGTCAAATTGATATGAATCTGTTTTTAGCTCACCTGAGCCGAAGGCTCAAGTGAGCTTTTCTGATCACATTTTGTCCGTCGTCCGTCCGTCCGTCCGTCCGTCTGTCTGTCTGTCCGTCTGTCCGTCTGTAAACTTTTCACATTTTCGACTTCTTCTCAGGAACCACTGGACCAATTTTGACCAAACTTGGTACAAAGCATCCTTAGGTAAAGGGAAATTTAAATTGTTAAAATTAAGGGCCAAATCCCCTCAAAAGGGGAGATAATCAAGAAAAGAAAAAAAAGGGTGGGGTCATTAAAATATCTTCTTCTCAAGAACCACTGGGCCAGAAAAGCTGAAACTTATGTGAAAGCATCCTGGGGTAGTAAAGATTCTAAATTGTTCAAATCATGACCCCTGGGGGAAGGGCGGGGCCACAATAGGGAATCAAACTTTTACATAAAAATATATAGGAAAAATCTTTGAAAATCTTCTTCTCAAGAAACACTGAGCCAGAAAAGCTGAAACTTACGTAGAAGCATCCTAGGGTAGTGTTGATTCTAAATTGTTAAAATCATGACCCCCGGGGGAAGGGCGGGGCCACAATGGGGAATCAAAGTTTTACATAAAAATATATAGGAACAATCTTTGAACATCTTCTCCTCAAGAACCACTGAGCCAATCTCCCATGCAGAGTTGTCGTTCGTTTCTCTCTCAAACACCTCTGCGATGGGCTCACGTCAAGATTTTTGACATAACGTATAAAACGTGATATTTGAAGGATTATTTCAATTTAAATTAATAGCTTTGTATTGATTTAGTAAATATCTTTCTCAAAACTCAGACATAGGCATAGAAATTGAATTAAAATGAATTAAAACAAACGCACTATTTCTCGTGTTTAACACTGTGTATACGCGAGCCAACGACAGAGGTGAATGTATGAGCCGATGGTAGAGAGTGCCACTGAGCCAGAAAAGCTGAAACTTATGTGGAAGCATTCTGGCGAAGTATAGATTCTAAATTGTAAACATCATGACCCCCGGAGAAAGGGCGGGGCCACAATGGGGAATCAAAGTTTTACATAGAAATATAGAGGAAAAATCTTTGAAAATCTTACTGGGCCAGAAAAACTGTAACTTATGTGCACATGGAAGGATCCTGGGTTAGTGTAGATTTCAAAATGTCTAAATTATTATCAGTGGGGTAGTGTTGGGATGCATTATGTGCTACATGTACAAGGGGGAAATCTGGTAAAGAACAGAATGGTCAAAGCTTCTAAGGTGAGCGATGTGGCCCATGGGCCTCTTGTTTTATAATTATAACAGCTTCCGATGTCTCTATACCATAGTTAAGGAAAAAAGGGCACACAAAAACATATTACGGCGCACACTAAAGCCCAATATTTATTCCACATTTTAGAATTCATTCTTAATAATTGATATTATATACTGGTTATATGGAACTTCCAAATGTAATAATAACTTTTCATCTCGTTCTTTTTATATTTTCTGAAATACCCACATACATGTGTATTTACAGAAAACGATATACATGGATATAAAAATTCGTTTATCAACCAGTTGATTGCGATAAAAATAGATTGATTTTTACAAAGTTACCTATTTCAACGCTTGAAGGGCGGTTGCAAAAAACATAAAATTTTATTGTACAGAGAAGTATTGGTACATCTTTATACTGCTAGGAGAAACACATAATACGCAAGTCCGTAGGTAGCGATTTCAGTTGGGAAGAGGGGTGTCCCAGCAAAACATTCTCATTCGGGGAAACTATCATCTACCGAAAATTCCTTGACATGCAAAAAAAAGTAATGAGATTTTTTCTATTTATTCAGGAGGCTCAAGCATTTATTTAGAAACAAAATTAGAAAAAGTAACAAAAAATATTTATGTCATTGTCTCGTGACTGCATGAACAGTCATGAGACAGGGATGTCAATATGAATTTAACATAAAGATGAGAAAAGGTAAAAGAATTACAAATCAGGTTCAAAAATATAAAGATTTGCATACAAAAAGAATGTTGTATTTTGATTTTAATGGCAATAAGCTCGATCGATCGATCCAAATTAAGCGCATTGAAAAAGGGCTATAAAAGAAAGTCAAACGCATAATTCAATATGGGTTTATTAGATTTAATAACTGTCTAAAAGTCTGTACTAAAGCACAATGCAAGGAAAACTACATATACTTGCAACGTCATCAGCATTCTAAAGCAACAGTTATAATGACTCACTAATAGTATTACATTCGTATCAGCATTGATCATAGGGAAAACAAGAAAAAAACCTTTCGGGAAACATTTAGCATAATAAAATTTAACTTCAATTTTGTTAAAAATAGCTACATGTAAACGGTTATTCTGTACAAAAAAATTACATAAAGGTAGGGGGTTTTAATGTGAATATTATGACCAATTTTATTTGTATGTTTGTTTTCATTTTGTAATTTTTGTATACATGCACTTAATATTGTATTTGAAGATAAATAAAATTAGTATTTCCAATGATGGGAATCAATAAACAACTCTAATAAAAAAAAAACTATAGTTTACTATACTTTACTCTAGTAAATCAATAGTGGTAGAGCGTTCGCTTCGTGATCGGGAGGCCCGTGTTCGATTCTCGATCGCGGCGCCGCGTCATACCTAAGACGTAAACAAAGGTAGTGACTGTTCCTTCGCCAAGCGCTCGGCACTAGAAGTGAAAGTCACGGGTCTTTCGGATATGACCTTAAAAATGTAGGTCCCGTGTCACGGGAGGCGTTGGCACGATAAAGAACCCTCACTGCTCAATGGCCCTGAGTGCCGAGCATAGGTCTAAATTTGAAGCCCTTCACCGGCATCGGTGACGTCTCCATATGAGTGAAAAATTCTCAAGAGGGACGTTAAACAATATACAATCTAGTAAATCAAAGTATTTTAGAATAATTTTCTGGTAGATTTATTTTTTATAAATTCCTTAGTTATTTTTCTGATTTTGAAAGAACCCTTTTTTGAATACTTACATACTTTTTTTTCAAAAAGTATATCATGGTATGTTATTTTAGAAACGTTAAAATCCTTAATCTTCTGCAGCTTCGAGGTCACATTGTAAAAAGTCATGATATATTCAGAAAGGTCATTTCGCATGCAGTGTATTATACATGTATAATATGAAAGCAGAATCTAAATAACCAATTTAAAATAATGGTAAAACTTTAAGAAGAAGGTCAAACTTCAAGGGGTAGGTCACAGGGTAAAACATCACAGTATTTTTAAACTCCTTGTCACTGGTATTGTACATAAGAAATGATGTGAAAAGCTCTATCTCTTCTCGTTCAAAAGAGCGATGACCAAGGTTAAGGTTTTGTCTACAGACGAATGAAATTATATATCTCCTGGCTTTCGCAATTCATCTGAAATGGAACAGGTCAACGAGAGTCTTCGAATTTTAAGTTCCATTGCTTCTTCTCTGAAAGGCGAGAAAGCGCTGTATTTAGTCTGAAGCAAACTGTGGCATTTAGAGCCTCGGTCGAACTCTCGTCTCGGACGTCAATTATCCTCCCGGTGACGAGCCCCAGGGCTGACACTGACGTCTGGTCAAGGGAACTGTCGTGATGGAAAACCACCGAGCCAGAATCGCCTTCAGCAGAGAATGGGTGATCACCTGAGTCTAAACTGGAGACTAGGAATAAAAAAGGGAATTTTTCTTGTTCATCCCCCAACAGCTTATAATAAAACTCTGGGCTCAATATCCGACCATCAGTAAAGTTAGACGTGGCTCCCTTTTTATGTACGACAGCGTTTGACGGTACGAGTCCTTGGTGAATATTAACGTTGCATGGATCTTCCATTCTATTCAAAAAGGTCGTATTGCAGTGTCTTTCTTTGCCTTTATCTATTTGGAAAACTGCAAAATCGTGGAGAGGTTTTTCATCTGAATAAATGCATTCACCGACTTTTGAGAGTTTGGAAGTGTCTGGAGATAAAGTGTACACTTGTTGTTTCTCTTGAGTTAAAGCATGATGACAAGTTAATCCATAGACTTCGCCTTCGCCATCGTCTTTCAGTAGAGCACCAACCGTGGCATAGGAAAATTGTGTATTGTCAGTTTTCTTATTTAAATAAATTTTATCTCCTTGTTCTACATAATTTTGAATTTTTATTTTATCGCATACGATTTTGAGTGACATCTAGTTAAAAAAAATCGGACAAAGTTTATATAATTCAGATTTCAGCGACTCGATTTCTGCAATATTTTCTATGAATACCCTTAAGTTTGATAAATCCAGGATACCAAAACCACGTATACCAGGTTTTCTAAAAAAAAAAAGAAAAAAAATTTAACAACTTATTATAAAATATAATTTTTTTTGTAAATAATGAAAATATTCAGATATTCAATATTTCATTCTTTGCAAATGAAAAGATATATTATTTAATTTTTTTATTGAACTCAGCTTATGCCAAACGATGAATTATCATTGATAAATGTATGAAAAGCATAGAAATCAAAACATACTGAAACAGAAATTCTTTCACAATCTGGGGAATTTCATTTGTTGAGTTCATTTCTGGAGACATTTGTGATAAAACTGAAAGGCATCTATTCCTTATTTCTGGTATATTTCCTCCCTTTGATCCTTTAAATTCATCAAGAAGCCCTTGAATATATTCCTTCAAAGGGGTTTCTAGGAAAGAGATAAGCTCTTCACGAATGTTTTCTTTTTCCAGTAAATGATACTTTGATTTAGTAGGGACCTCACATCGTCTGAAGAATTGGTTTCGGATTACGAAAACCTTTGTCCTTGCAGCTAATTGTATGGAATCTATGAACTTGTCAATAGAAAGGAAAACAAGGTTATACATGTATTTATTTTCTTAAAAATTATCTGTTATATGAGGAGCGAAATGATTTTTTGTTTGTAAAAATAAACGTACCTCATCGATTTGATATAAAGACTCGTCCTTACTTTGAAAATATATCAGGGCTGATACAGGCCATAGTTTTTCATCTCTGGAACAGTATCCGTCTATAAAATACAGTAAAATAAATCCTCGGAAGTCTCATTTTTCTCATGATTGTGCCTGTCTTGTAAAGAAAATTAGAATAGCTTCATTTCGAAAGTCATATAATTTATATAAAATACTAGTAGTTTTTCTTTCAATTCAACTGATCATTAAGAAAAAAACATGCCTTTTTCAACACTTGTTTGTCCACAGACACCTGAAAAATAGTTGCTGTAATCTACTTTCTTCTTCAGAGATTGTCTTAGGCACCAACTTTGCAAATATACATGAACTCTTAGTCTATCATGCCATTACTTCACTATCTAATATAATTTCGGTTAATTTATTGATTTTACGGTAGATAAAAATAACCAAGAAACAATTCTTGTTAATACACAGGGTGTCCTGTTTCGAGAGAGATTTTAAACACGAATACAACATTTCAAATGAAGTAAATGATACAAAAGGCAAATCAGTGAGATTTTTGTTTTAGAAGACGGCTGCATTTCATTCTATCAATGACTTGGGCAAAAGTGTGGTGCTGTCACTGACATTTAATTTAATACACATTAGATGTGGTGAAAAATGCTCATTGAACGCTTTGACCTAGACTTAGTGCTACACGTATGTATATATGTGTATATGTTTTTTTTGTTTTTAGTTTTTATCAATATTTTGTAATAAATACTTTTAAAATTTCATTTTCACTTACTTAGAAAACATTGAATTGCTGCTCAGGTAAATTCCGGAAATGAAAACAAAATTATGTCGGAAATGAAAAAAAAATGTCGGAAATGAAAAAAAAATATTTCGGAAATGAAATAAAAATTGTTCGAAATGCTTTGCATTTTTCCGGAAATGAAATGCAGCGTAGAAGGCTCTTATAAATTAATAACGATACACCTGTTCATGGGATTTTGCTAACTAGTGTGATTGGAATGTCGTGGTTTCGAACAATAATATTTCATGATGATTTTTTTAAAAAAAATTTTGTTTATTCAAAATGATAAATGAATTAAATAATTCAGAAATATATAACTACACTCTATTTATTAATCATACACATATCTACATTTTTTGTCGGGTAAAAGCTTAATTTCATGGGGAAAAATGTGTTAAATTTTTGATTTTTTAAAATGTTTTAGAGTTTGAAAATGTTGCGTAAAGGGGGAGGGGGAATAATTTTATGTAAATTTTCAATCAATATTAATGAATAATTAGGAAAAATGATATAAAGGGTACAACAAAAAATTATATTTTAAAAGCAATGATAAAAATCACTTTGATTTCATTAATCATTTTAATTTTATTTTTAATCATTCATTAGATTTCCGAAAATCAAAAATATCTAAATTAAAATAAATTGAATGAATTTATCTGATTTATCGAATATTGCTTATCCAGGTAGACACAGGTAAGTTTACCTGTATCCCTAAGAGGGTCCCTTAATTGAGTGTGATAATTACGTACACGTAGTTGTTGTTTTTTTGCGAGAAGCCATTCAGGGGACGCACCCTTGATATTACCCGTATGTATTCGCCTTAAACAGGTCGAGGAAACTACCTTATATGGATATTTTTGCGATTGCGCACAGGGGTGCTCACAGCAAACAATGGTCTATTCCAGTGAATGGGCCGAAAAGCATGATGGTCTACTACATGTTTATTTTTACTACAAACACGTGGGTCAGGGAAATTTAGGGCGCAATTTCAAATGAATCAGGAAAGTCAGTTAACAATGTTTTGAAATGTGTTTATGAAATATACAAAGTTTAGGTACTAATCAAGATTCCCTATGCTCACATTAACAAACACATTCAGTTTTCCTTGTTAAATTGTACTTTGAAATACCGCTAACAAAGTCTTCACAATAAAAGACTCAATTTTTTTAAACTCGATATTCATTAATTTGCCATATAACTGGTTAAATTAGTTGTTGCTCAGTTAGTTGTTACTAGAAATTAAATGTTGCATTTTATAAACAAAAAAAATTAAGTTGCACTTTATCTTTATTATTTTCCTGTTATGCAAGTCCTCATGCATATTGATTATAGAATATGAGTAGCATATATTTCGAAGTTGTATACGTTGTTAACATTGACAATACGTGAGCACACCTCAGAATTGTTTCACTCATTGTTTTTGGACCAAGGAATAGTCACTTGAAATTGACTTTTCACTGACAGTACAGCGCGGGGAAAGCTGTCAACAAACGGACTTGTACAATTGAGTGGAGAAAACCTTAATTTTTATAATTGTATAACATTTGTATATAAATGTGAGCATGGAATTAGTAGATAATGATGTTCATATATATATATTGTGTTAAGTGTGTAAACTGCTTTGAAAAATGCATCACATGCAACACACGTGTAGTATTTTTGTAGTAAACCATAATGTAACTCATTGAGCTGATTGGTCGATTTGTCAGTCACGTTGGTTCCTCACTTAACATGTAAATTTATTCCGACGTCACAGAAAATAGTTTCCTCGACCTGTTAAACAAGAATTTTCCTACCAAAACGTATGTTTTTGCATAAAAAATGACAATGAGTCATTTTTCTACGGGATCATTTTTTCTACAATGCATACGGAGAGAAAAACGACCCAAGGCTATAATTTCTACGTAGAACATTGAACAGGGGGGGGGGGGGGCACTTTTCGTCGTTACACCGGCTTGGCGCAGTGATCTGCTCCAGAGTTGATTCTTACGTCTTGGGATTGAATCCAACCTTGGGACGTGGAGACGGTTCCTTCGGATGAGACCGTATAAATTGAGGTCCCGTGTCGCATTAGGCATTGGATCGAAATAAAAACGTCACTGCTCAACAATAGCCGAGTATAGGACAAAAGAACAAGGTTCACTTTTGCCTTATTTGGCCCTGTGAATTTCTGAAAAACCGAAACTGCTTAGTTTTAGTTAACAATGCATAGAATATCACTCAGATATTTGGCGATTGCGTATATATCCAAAATGACGTAATTTTCTGGCTAGTCAATGCATTATGACGTCAGGAAATGCGTCAATTTCCTCACATTCTGAAAAAGTCCACAAAAACGGTCAATTTTTAAAGCTATTTTTCGATATTTAATATAGAGCGCAACCTCTGATCTAAAATATGCAACTAGTAAATGATAGAACTGTTTCTGAGGATTAAAAGACGTGTTTAATTTTTAGATCAGAGGGTGCGCTCATATTATTTTTTTCATTGAAAGTACTCAAATATCCCTATTCTATTTACCGTAAAATTCAAGAACATTGCAACTTCAAGAAGCCAGTTCTCTAAGACCTGGACTTTTAGGAGAATTTTTTTTATAGGAAATGAAAGCACCTAGTCTCTACTTTATTTTAATATTTCAAATGGAAAATCAAGTGGTAGTCAATCAATTGGTATATCTACAGGGCCATTTTATGCATAACATGAACCGAGCTCTTTACAGCCCTCCAGCGGCAAGTGTTGGCGTCTCCATATGAATGAAAAATTCTCAAAAGGGAGTTAAACAATCAATCTTTTGATGGTACGTATGCAACATCGGAGACAATCCTGCAAAAAAGATATAAAACAGAACCTTTTGAAGAAGTAATTAAAATCTCTGCTTCTGTTGTAATTTCTCCGGCTAGGTAAATTCGAACTCTTTTGACACCTAAGAGTGCACGGGTTTCCTCGGTTGATCTAAGGGCTCTGATCTTTTCTGCAATGTTACTGACTAGGTGATGGTGGTAACAAAGCCGTGGCAAACTACTGATCGCATACCATTTCTCTTCATACAGAACAGGACAACCTTCTGAAGTATTAATGATGATCGAATAAGATTTTTATCAAATTGCCAAATTCAATTCAAAACTTATCGAAAAGATTAATTGAACAATTTTAGTTTCATATTTTAATTAAAAAAATATATATAGCACCTTTATAAAAGCATATTAATATATTCTCAAGTTCTTAATATATAATACATAGCATAAAAATTGTTGAAAATATAATTTACATAATGTAAATGATGTAAAAAAAATCTTACATGTAAGAATTTCTTTATTTTTAGCTTTCTTTTCTCACCAGATTTAGATTTCTGTTTTCTGTCAATTTCTACATTTTTGCTTCGTTTCTCTGAGTCAGTAAACGTTTTTGATACCTGTCTCTGAAATTGAAATGTTCTTTTTTGTTATATGTATTCAAAATTAAATGTTGAGGAACTAGATATGGTTTCCCTCATATATAAGGTATATGTTTCACTGGCAACAGAATTCTTGATGAAAAATTAAAAAAAAAAATAGAAACACACTGGTCTTATGACTCTAAATAGTAAACATTTTCTGAATGAGGGACAAAAATAGCCCAGCCCGTATATATTTATTTTGAATTTTTTTTTTGAGATCATCACACCGCATATGAGTAAGACATAAGAGAATCTGTCACGTTGATCTTTAAAAAGAAGGAAACAAAAATAACAAAAGAATTATTTGATACTTGCTTTTGATTGGACCTTAGACAGAGGAGAATATGCAAAGAAGGCCATTCTATAAAAGACTATTGTTTACTGTAATTAGAGATATATTTACATGTAAAGAAACAAAATACAATTCTAGATTATAGGTTCAAAATGTGAGATAAATAATTTTGTCCTTAGTACAAGTTTTATTTCATTATTCACCGTATTGAAAATACATTATTTAACATTTGTAAAAACGTACATTATGAATATTTATTTCATTGTTCTGTGTACTCGAAGAAGTATTTGACCATAATAATGATTCTTTGCCTGAAATAAACACAAAATAAATCATGTAACCTTTCTTGAAGTTTTCTTATAACTGACATATTGATTTTGAAATTTTGAAATTTATTTAGATATACCGTAAAATATTCATTATTAAGTAAAATAACTGTTTATGGTAGAACGATTAGTATACTTGTAAATAAAGAAAATATGCACTCTTTATAATGCTTCATCACTTACCCTTCAATGCTGCATCACTTACCCTTTAATTTTCTAGTCAATTAGCTGATTGAAATAGGCATTTCGCTATAACACTTCGAAGCCACTTTGTTTATCATTCTTTCTCAGGGAAATAGCTTTAAGAAAGCCAAGTGTATCTTACCTTAGTTAATGTAAATACGAGGTAAAGCTGCATTAATATTTAATTTATATAGAAACAGGTAACAAGGAAAAACGAAGGCTATAAAACAAACATAAATTTCTCATACTTTTAATTGAGGAAAGTATCAAATTTTAGGGAAGTAAATGTTATTCAATGTATGTTTATTATTCATTATAAGTAAATGTTATTGTGAACAAGGAAAAAAACCCTTTATTTTGTTTATAAACAGATGTTTCTGCCCATCTTTTGTGCAATTAACCTTAAGATGTCAAAAAATTACCTTTAAGATAGTATACATATCAGAAAATAGAATTTCAATGCATTAATGTGCATGTAATGTGCAACTGAAATAAATACTGTAGATTCCTTATCATACGCGAGGAATTAATTTCCGCGTAATTTCGCGAAAAGAACCACTCGCAAACTAATATTACTCGCTTTTATTTTTATGGTGTTGAAATCCATGTTACCTCTGTCGATCAACCGTCCATTCGCGAAATATTATTCTCGCGATTTGACATTAAAGAGCCAGTTCGCGACAATTAGTACTTGCGAAAAATTAGGAATCTACAGTACCTTTAAAGATTTTCAGGTGCAATTTCTCATTTTTAATAAATACACATTTAGATACCTGCCTCTCGTCTTTGAATACTTCCTCTTCGTTTATTGCTATCTTTTCTATCCTATAACATAGCTACAAAAGTCGTTAGCAGAGATGTTAACGCTATACCAATGTGTATTTATGGGACAATAGCCCTGGATATCAGAAGGCTGTCAGTTTTAACGTTGGTTCTGTTGGCATTTGTTTCCGTTAGAAGTTTTTGTACGTCTGTTCGCTTTTTGCATTTTTTTTCATAGCCTTATGAAAACCATATAATTTGATACAGGAAAATTTTAATATGAGCTGTGTAAAATTTACTTTTGGAAGCATCCTTATTTAAATCTTGTTCAAATATGTATATTAAAGAGACATCGTGACGCACAAAGTGGAAATGACAAATGTAGAATTTTTCCATCATCCGTGTAAATTGTGTTCAACTCCCAAAATTATAAAGTTTCAGAAAATAACGGGTTTCAGAACTTAATCAATCTATTTTTATGTAGAAAAAATTTAAGTAAAAATAATTTCAATTTCAATGTTTTTAATTTCAATGTTAACGACAAGAGATTGACTAGCATACGAGTCTTTTGAAATTCACTCCAATCGCTTATTTCGATGGCTCTTTAACATTCAGAACAAAACAAACGCATATGATTATACATGTAAGTACCTTTGATCCTATCAGTTCACACGTCTCCAAAACGTTTTCTTTTAGGGGCTTGTTTTATCATTTATTCCTCTTTCTTGAATCTCCCAGGGAATTCAGTGACTATGTAGATACATTAGACCAAATTCATTGAAACAACGCAATTAGTTAATTATATGTAAATGTTGAACACGTTTCAAATAATTAAGAGTCAAAATCAGCAAGCATCGAGCATTGAATTGAAAGTCAAAATTTTATTTTTTCAAGAGCTTTTGTTATATAAAAGATTTTGTCCCACCTAATGCTAAAACAGAATTAAATTTGTTTTGAACGTATGATGTTTGTAACTCTTCAAAACACCCTTCCGCACTTCATCCAGACATTCCAAAATTGGTCGTGAAAGCTCACGAGGGGGAGAAATCTATTCAAGAAGTGAATGTAACAAACAAGTGTACAAAAATATGTAACACTCAAGGAAACACATCGAAATCTTGTGCCAAGATAATGTTAGTGAGAGTGTACCCCAAAGTAAGAAAGAACTTGTGATCTACTTGTAATCTATTGATGGTATATGTACTTTGCAGCTGCCTGATTTGATAGAGTGCAACGATATTCCTAACAACAGAGAGGAAATACCATCACCGGAAGTGGCACAGGGTTTTCCTCACCTGAAGGACATTGCACATTTCATACACCCAGTGGATGAAAGTATCGACATCGAGTTATTGATCGGTCGTGATCTCATTATGGCTCACCATGTATTAAACCACAGAATTGGGAATGATAACTTACCTTATGGACAACAACTGCCTCTTGGATGGGTTATTATTGGAAATGTCTGCCTTGGCATGATGCATAGCCCAGATGTCGTCAACGTCAACAAAACCACTATTCTAAGTAATGGACGTCCCACTATGATGATTCCTTGTGATAGCGAGATTAAGATTGACTTTGACACAATTTTTAGAAGAACTGATCAGGATGAGAAACCAGGATTATCAGTTGAGGATCAAGACTTTCTTAATATTATAGGCTCTGGAATACAGAAGACAGAACAAGGTCAGTGGATGGCTCCACTCCCTTTTCGATCTACCAGGAAAACCTTGCCGAACAACAAGAAAGCAGCTGAACGACGTGCAAGATCCTTTGATGCAAGTTTGAAGCACAAAGAACAGAAACGCAAGCATGTGATTGACTTTATGCAGAAGTTATTTGATAATAATCATGCAGAAGAGGCTCCAGATTTGGATAAAGGAAGCGAATGCTGGTATCTTCCGCTCTTTGGAGTATACCATCCCAAAAGGCCAGACAGCATAAGGATGGTTTTTGTTTCATCGGCCAAATTCTGTGATGTATCTCTAAATGATGTGCTGCTCAAAGGACGTGACCTTAGCAATAGTTTGCTAGGAATCTTCATGAGATTTAGAAAGGAAGCAGTAGCTGTAACGATGGATGTAGAACAGATGTTCTATAACTTCAAAGTGAACCCTGAACATAGAGACCTTTTGAGATTTTTGTGGCATGAGGACAATGATTTCAACCACCCACTCACCAGCTTCCGCATGACGGTACACGTCTTTGGAAATAGTCCGTCACCCTCTGTGGCCACTTATGGTCTGAGGAAATCAGTAGAGTCGTCCTGTGAAGACGTCAAAGATCTCATAAACAATAGCTTTTATGTTGATGATGGTCTATTGTCATGTTCCAGTGAAGAAAAAGCCATGAGTCTTGTACATAGGACAATGGATGCACTGAATGAAGGAGGAAAGTTGAGACTTCACAAATTCGCATCGAATAGCAGAACACTTCTAGATTCATTTCCCTCGAGTGACCTTGCCAAGAACCTGAAAGACCTTGACCTCGGTACAGCGTCACTACCACTACAGAGAAGTTTAGGACTTCTATGGGATACAGACTCAGATGTTTCTTGTTTAAAGTGTCAGATTAGCAGAAACCTTTCACCAAGCGTGGATCAGGTCTATCATCAATAGTATCTACGATCCCATAGGCTTTGCTCAACCAGTTATAATCAGGGGCAAAATATTGCTGAGAAATATGATCTCCTCTACATCAAAATTAGACTGGGATGATCCCTTACCTGACTCCCTCTACAAGGAATGGAAATCCTGGGTACAGTCGTTGCCAGAGTTAGAGGAGTTCCAGATTCCCAGACAGTACAGTTCCCAGTCATTCCAAGGTGCCCAGAAGCGAGAGGTGCATATCTTTGCAGATGCATCTTAAGAAGCCATCGCAGCCGTGGCATTCTTGAAGTTGTACGACATGAGCCCAGATTCCTGCACAACTAGTTTTCTACTGGGAAAAGCAAAGGTTGTTCCGTGTAGTGGACATACAGTGCCAAGACTTGAATTATGTGCTGCTGTGTTAGCAGTTCAGCTAGCAGATGTCATCTATGAACAGTTGAAGATAGACAGATAGTATTTTTCTTTCTATTCGGACAGTCAAGTGGTACTTGGGTACATAACGAATGAGACTAGAAAGTTCTTCATTTATGTAGGAAATCGAGTGAGTCGCATCAGAATGTCTAGTCATCCCCCGCAGTGGAACTATATAACATCGGAATGCAACCCAGCAGATGTTGCTACAAGAAGTGTGAAAGCATCTCAACTGGCAGACAGCATGTGGATCAAAGGACCAGACCTTGAAACAGAACCTCATTCAACATCTGCTCTAGACGATTACCCTCTAATCAACCCAGAGATAGATAAAGAATTGCAACCAGAAGAAAGATGCTTCAAAACAGAGGAGTTACAGAACGAGAGATCCATGTTTAAAGTTTCCACATTTACAAGGTTTTCAAACTGGAGAAAACTTGTGCGAACAATAGCTTATTTAAAGACTTTCATCAGAAAGTACACTGGTGTCAATACTTCTGACACAGATGAGAAACTTTACGCCACAGATATTATCGCCGAATCGGAACACTTCATTATTCAGACAGTGCAAAGGGAAGCCTATGGCCCAGAGATTCAAGGATTCTAGAGAAGGAAGATCACTGAACAGAAGCTCAATCTTATCTCTGTCTCCAGTGCTAGGTCCAGATGGTCTCTTACGTGTTGGCGGAAGGTTAAAGGGCAACAGATCTGTTGATGACTTATCGAAACATCCGATAATCATCCCTAAGAACCATCACCTGGCCAAGCTTCTCATTCACCATTTTCATTGCAAGGTTGCACATCAGGGTCGACACTTCACTGATGGAGCGGTGAGAGCTGCTGGATTTTGGATAGTGGGGTCCAAGCGTATGATTTCATCTGAAATCCACAAGTGTATCATTTGCCGCAAACTTAGAGGGAAACTTGGATGGCAACAGATGGCATGCTTACCAGATGACAGAGTGACTCCTAGTCCTCCATTCTCATAAGTTGGTCTGGACACGTTCGGACCATGGGCATTTGTTCACAGGAGGACCAGAGGAAGTTCAGCCAATCAAAAACGTTGTGCCTTGTTATTTACTTGTATGGTGACCCGTGCGATACATATCGAAGTCATTGAAGAGTTATCTAGTGCCGCATTTATTAACGCATTGAGGCGTTTCATCGCTATTAGAGGTCCAGTGATATAGTTTAGGTCAGATCGGGGAACCAATTTCATCGGGGCAACAGAGGACCTGTCCATCAATGCTGAGTTTGTGGAAAAAGGACCAGTTGGAACATTTCTGACTAATTCAAGAACCTCTTGGGTATTTAAGCCACCTCATGCCTCCCATATGGGAGGAGCATGGGAACGTTTGATAGGAGTGTCTCGGAGAATACTAGACTCTATGTTACTACAGAATCGAGTCGAGCTAACCTACGATGTCTTAGTGACTTTTATGGCCGAGGTAACAGCTATTGTGAAAAATAGGCCTTTATTACCTGTGTCAACAGATCCAGAGTCTCCTTGTTTGCTCACACCATCTACCTTGCTAAAAATGAAGACCACATCCGACATCCACCCCTTCCCAGAGTTTGGACCAAAGGACATACGTGCACATTGGAAGCGAGTGCAGTTATTAGCTGAAGAATTTTGGAAAGATGGAGAACAGAATACATACATACCCTTCAAGCGCGTCAGAAGTGGAAGGAAGTGCGTCCAAACCTGGAGGCTGGTGATGTCATCATGATGAAAGACAGTGGAAGTGCGCGTAATGACTGGCCTATGAGCATCGTGAAAAAGACATTCCCAAGTGACGATGGACGCGTCCGAAAAGTTGAGATATGTGTTGTGAAGGATGGTACACGCTCTTCTAATGTGAGACCTATATCAGAACTTGTTACTCTTTTGGAAGTGTAATGTTATTGATGTACATTATTGGTTAGATCATGCACTTTAGGTTGTGTTTGTATGTTTGAAATTGTACTGTAAACAAGATAGTAGTACATTGAAATTTATGTTAAATTTGTTTTAAAAAGTAGTGATAGTGATGGGACATCGGTTAATTTTCATAATCGATCATCGGTTGGAATCGGTTACTGCTTCCGATGCGATTTTACCGATTATAATCGGATGTCATAGTTTGGTTTATAAAAAGCAGACTGTTACATTTATTTCAAATTATTTCTTTAACATGAAAATATAAAATATGTAATTTATTGTTTTCTTTGTTGTTTTGCTTATTTCACACTTTCTACATACAATGTCATGCATGATTTAAACTAAACTAAAATTTCCACTAGCCACGTTGGCTCCAAAAGTTTTAAATCTACAATCTCTGTGATTTTTTAACCCTTTGAATTCATCACTGGGTCAATTAAAGTCTAGATATAATTAAATATAAAATACACTTGTGCATTTGTTTAAAATGAAAATTGAAGCTCGAATTACTTTGTAAAATAAATTTCAAATAAATATTTCATCATAAGAAATGAAATTGAATTTAATTAACAATTTAACTATCCTTTTTAGCAAGGTTACATACTTACCGGTAATCCCCTTTTCCTGGTCATAGGACTATAGCATCACATATGAATAAGATTTTTTAAGTTAAAGTATTTTTGAAACTTATCTGGAATAAGTAGAAGCCTAATAACACTTCTATTTCATAAGACTGAGTAATTGGAAATAATTTAATTGGATATCTACCACGTATAACCGATACACAGAGGGACGGAGGAAATTCGGATTACAAAAAGACGATCGTTTTCAAGATTTCACAAATCTTGTAGTACTGGTAAATGGTTTAGATGAAGGGTATTTACGAACAATAGGACCATGTTACATTAATTTTTTTAATTGATTGGAAGTTTTAAAGAAAAAAACATGAGGAAAGCGTCTGTTTTCAGTAAGGGGACTGGAATGCCACGTGGGCGAACAAGTTTTAAATTTTATCAGCCTTCACCAAAATTTACTCACGGTTCCAAAGCACCTTTGCCTCGTGCTATTTGGCAAGTATAAGAAGCACATGCCTTTTTTTCTTTTATTAAGAATAAATAAATTATTTTAAACTAGAAATAGATAATTCTGGAATTTACTTTATTAGAAGTATGTTTCCGATGATCGATAATGAAAAATTATAATCGATCATCGGAATCGGTAGCATTTTTTCGTCGACAATCGATATACAACACTAAGTAGTGATTTCTAGTAGAAATCAGAGGGGGAGTGTAGTGTCCGGAAATATCCATCCCCGCCGTCCCGGGTTTAGAATTAAGTATACTTTGTTTGTCTCCGCCCAAGTCAAGAGCACAACGTATTTTCAATTATCTTGTCTGTCTTGTCCTCTCATGGAGTAAGTTTAATTGCTATTTTTGTTTTGTGTTCATAAATTGATTGATAAATGTTTGATTATCATGTACGCTTAATGTCATTGGTAAATATTTTCTATATTTTGCATAATTCTGCATCGTTATGAGTTATTTTTGTAATCGGTGCATTTAAATATGGCGGATAGTTTGAGTCATTTTGATAAACTTAGGTACCATATCGATGTACTGTATTTTGTCATTTTCTATTCATCAAGTCTGTCAATGATTAATTATCACAGTTAATAAGAAGTTTGTCAGTATAATATAGTTTATTGTGAAACTTATGATTTGATTGTGTCTAAATGTGTGTCATTTATTTGTAATTTTTTACCCTCTTCCGAGAGGTCTGTGAATAAAGTATAACAGCACAGATGCACTACATTTATGTCGTGATGCACTCAATTTATGTTCTAAACGAGATTGTCATAAATTGAAACTTGCTGCATAGCTTTTATAAATTGATTAATTATAGATCAAGTTTGCATTTTGTTCTACTTCATTAATTTGTGAAGGAATTGTGGTATTTTTTTTTTTAATAATTGGGTTCACAATAGGCTTTGTGATGCACTAAATTAATGTCGTGATGCACTACTGGATCAATCGGCAATCCTCGGCTGACTCCGCTACGCTCCATTCAATTCATTATGTGCGAGGTTCGAGTCATCCGAGGAACTCCGAGTGCTACTGGATGAATGTATCATGATTTGAAACTTGTTGGATACCTTTATAGTGAAAAATATAGATCAAGCTTGATTTTTTTTTGGTTGTTCAACCATGTAAAATAAGCTGTTCTGATCAAAGCATGTGTGTGTGTGTGTCAAATGGCATTCAAAGACGTCATGAGTCTTTGTAAGGCAGATCCAATACATTTCATTCATATTCAAGTAATAACTGAAATGTCCATATTCAAGTAACAATTTTTCATACACAGGCTCTAATAAAATGACACCCGAGAGAGAAAAGGGGAACCCGGTAGGGGACATGTATTACTTATGCAATACTTTCAGTATGCTTGTTTATTTCTTTGTATTTCTCTTTCAATTGAACTTAATACATCGATTGTTGATAATTTTCTTTCAACCTATTCACTGGTATAAATCTGATTATACTTTGATTATGAACAGGTGGACACTATCAATGATGATAATTGACTTCCTGATTGTACCTATAATAATACATTTTTGTAATTTAAAACACTGTGAATGACTTTATACAAAACAATATTCATTAACTTTGTAAGGTTTATT